CTGCCCCACCCCCAGCCTCTCAGCCTTCCTGGCTGCCGGAGAGGGGAGGACCTGGAACCGCACCAGACTCTCAGCCACCCATCCCACTCCTTGGCCTCCCCCCTGGAACTCTCTGCCCTCTCTCCCCCCCCCCCCAATTCAGCCAGCCCTGGTCTCCCCCCATCTCCTTTCCAAGCTTCTGAGCCCCCAACTTTCCTCCTGGTTGCAGCCAGCCCTGGCCTCTTGGTTCCCCATTGTCCCTTCAGCCTCTCATCTCCTCCACCCCGTCCCTGGTCTCAGCCAGCCTTCCCTACAGCAGCCCCGGCTCTCCCCACAGCAGCACACGCTTCTTGGAGTTTACTTCTCTCCCTGTTCCCCTGCAGGAAGCTGGCACTGGTACAGTAATCTAGGGTGGGAGCGGGGGGTGTTTCCATGCTGGAGCTCCAGGCACTTGGTGGCCCCCGTGTGCCTGGCCTGAGCAGGAGGAGGCAGCAGTTCCCTGCTGGATCCTGGAGTGTTGGGGGCCCCCAGCGCAGTGAGGAGCCACTGCTGCTGCCTTCTGGCCCTCCTTCAGGGGAGCCAGGGGCCAGTGGGGAGCCCAAGGCGCCCCACATGGAGGGTAGAAGAACCCTGAGCCATGGCCATCTCTTCCCCATGACATAGATTGATGTGATGACATCACTATCACTTCTCAGGAAATTTTTTTTGAATATATATAGAGAAATGGGGACAATACTGACTTTACAAAATACTCTGAGTCTAATATGTTGTTTGTAAAGCTCTTTTGAAATGAAAAGGGCTCTAGGAATGCTAAGTAACACTATTAATGCTAATCATTTCCATGGCAACGAGTTATAGTATTGCTTTAGGTAGGGAAATATCAACATAACCATTTCCATGGAAATAATTTTGTTGTCTCAAAATGAGGACTCTTATTTCAGACTGAAGGAAAACCTTTACGAGTAGCTGAGCTTTTAAATAGCTAAGATCTTGCTTCTTCAACACATGTTCCCAGCAATAAAGAACTAGGGAAGGAAAATGTAGAGAATACTTGGTCTTGGTAGTAACCAGGGAATATTGACACTTGTGTAATAATTTTAAGCTATGGGTTGCAGCTACTAGAAACTATAGGATGACATGATCACGGTCTTTGATGGACACTCCATCTTGCAAAAGGTATTGATGACCACCTGGGGTAGCACATGGGTATATATCCACACACAAATCTATGCACAAAGTATTGGGTAGCACAGACAGTAATGCCTATAGTTAAGTGACATTATTATAAGACTGTTTTCAGTTGACAGACTTGAACTATTTTAGCTGAAATTTTCCGTGGCAGTTGTCTGCCTTAGTTTGAATTTTACTGAAAGATTTCGCAAAAGTGATTCAGCCACTTCTCGAAGGATAGATGTAAAATACATTGTTTTCTCCAGATTTTACAGTAAAATAAAACCCTTAAAGCAATTCAGTTGAAAAGCAGTATTATCTCGATCACTTCGAGCAGTAACTTGACTTGTAATAGGGGGTTTGTTGTCTTGGTGTCAAGGATATGACTCTTGCTATCCCCAAGAAAATCCCATCACTGGAGTTAGGACCTGAGTAGGACTTTCCTTGTAGTTGTTCCACCAGGTTACCAGTGGCTGCTGTGGCACTAGATATCAGAACTGAGAACAGGTAGACTCTTCCTCATGTACACTCAGTGCTGGTATCCCTACTGGTACCCATCTGACCAGGCAGCAGGGAGGAGGAGAAAACACCCTAGCTAATCTTCACACAGATGGATCCATGCCTGTGTGGGTTTGTGGGGAGGGAGGCTGAGATGGGGATCCAGGGACTAGTGGAAAGATTGGTATCAACAGCAGCGAGATGGTAGGAGATTGGGACAATGAGCTATCTGGTGAGATGAGACATGGAGCTGAGGGAAAGCAGAGTGAGGGAATGGAATGGGACAAAGCAGGCAGTGGGGAGAATGGGATGAGAACAGCTTGGGGAGGCCAGAGGTAGAAAGGATTAGGATTGGTAGGAGCAGATAAAGAATGGTCCTTAATCACAAGATTCCACTCCTTTCATATCCTGCAATGGAATCTAGGATTCCTGAGTCTTAACAGTCCTCTGCTGCCAGCAAACCCACTGGCAGAATGTATGATTCCACTCCCCATAGTGGCCAGCCCAAGCATCAGGGGTTCTATGAAAAAAATAGTATGGGATTGTATCATGAGCTTTCGTGGGTACAACCCACTTCCTCAGTGGGTTGTGCCCATGAAAGCTCATGATGCTAACTGTATTTTTTTGTTTGTCTCTAAGGTGTTAGAGGGCCACTAGCTGTTTTTTAAGTTTTTTTTTTTTTAGTTACAGACTAGCATGGCTAACTCTCTGACTATGGGATTGTGTAATTAAAGTAGGGATGTGAACGGTTAACCAGTTATCAGGTAATGGTTAACAGTTACTCTGGAGCAGCCCCCACCCTCAGCCTGTTTCAGGCAGAGGGCTGCTTCAGCCTTGCACGGGGCTGGAAGTGACAGTTAGGGTGGGGCTGGGGCTGCCAGCTCTGAGCCTGCGCAGGCTTATGGGCTGCCAGCTCTGAGCCTGCGCAGGCTTATGGGCTGGGAGTCGCCAGCCTCGCCCGGGGCCGGAACAGCTGTTCAGGGGTGGGGGGACCTCCTACTTCCAGTCTTGTACAAGGCTGCCGACTCCAAGGCCATGAGCCTTTGTGGGCTGGGAGTCAGCCACTCAGCACAGGGTCAGAAGCAGCTGGGCTGGCGTAGTCCCCCACCCTCCTGTTTAATCAGTTAACTGGTTAAACTTACCATTTAACTGGTTAGCTAATTAAACAGGATTTTACATCCCTAAATTAAAGATATACATTATTATAATGCATATGCAGAAGAGAGCTGATTTAAGGTTTCATAGGCAACCTTAATTCTGACATTTCCTAACTTTTGAGTGCTTGACTGTGCACATTCTCTTATTGTAGTTTTCTACATGAACTTTTTTATAGAAACTATGAAAAGAGAATTGTTTGAAAATTGATTAAATACTTTGGACCAAATTTATAAAACACAGCCTGTTATACACACCCAGGTTTTCAGTTCTAAGATTTTCTGTTTTTGAATGTGTGCATGCAGATTAGGGCATTAGATGAGCAGTTAGCCATTTTGCTGGTTCAATTCACCAGGCATGGAAAGCTGTTCACATACTTTCAAAAGATGCAGACTCGAAATCTAAGACTTTATTACCCATCAGGCGTTAGCTGTTTCATAGGTCACTGCTTCATGTACATTTTGGGCCAGGTTTGGTACTAGCAGTTACTGTGAAACTTCTTGTTAAGCCCCTTCTCTTTCTAAGTGGTATGGAGCCTAATGCTTGATTTCTATCTAGAGTTTAATGGGAAAGTCTTGGATTCCAACTGGTATACCTTACCTATGTTCTGAAAATGGTGGGCTTACTTCCTGTTATTTAATAACCTTAGAGCAGAATTGTAGTCTTTCCAGCATGTGTGCAATTGGTGCAATTAGTGGATGAGGCACCCAGATAAACAGCAGTGTATATTGAATGGGGACCTAAGTATCATCTCTGATTCTGATTTCCGTTCAGCCTGACATCTCTGTATCTTACTGGTGCGTGAAGCAGTCCCAGGAATTTTTTTGACATTATTGCATGTTGGTATAATGAGAGAACAGAGCAAAGCCTTTGTAACTGCAAAGGGATGTGCTTTGCTATAAAATGAAATAGCTGTGTAGGTTTTCAAGAGTAGTGGGATGTCTGGAGCACTGACAAGGCCTCATGTTCAAATGTAGGTGCTCCTGAAGGGGCTTAACCTTACTAGGGGATTCGCTTATGTATACACAGGAACTTATTAGAAGCAGGTTTATTCTTCCTCTGCCCCTGAAGCCCTTCCTAGATAGAGACCTCCCATGCAGGAATTGCAGCACAGTCATCTATTGACTGTACTTTTCTTCTCATCTTCCTATAGGGAAACAGTGGCCTCAAACCAAAGGAGAATGAAGTCACATCTAAACCTTGGCACTGGCCCATAAATTATCAGGTATGCTGATAAATCTACCAATCCTGTCTGATGGCAAGTGCTTTACATAGGGGTAGGACACCCTAAACTGTAGAGCTGTGGGACTAGATCTCTTTTATTTAAAATGTGTTGTTTATATTTCAGCCACTGCTGAAATACCCTTTTTGTTGGCATGAGAAGGAACTTATCTCACCTTTCTCACTTCTAATTCTCTGTGCAAGCCTCAATGAGGTTGAAGGTTGGTCTGGGCTCACTAGATACAAACCCATTTTAATTTGCTCTCATACTCTGTGTTTCTCTCAGGGTCTGCGTTTCTCTGGAATTAATGAAACAGATTATCGAGTTTATTTGCTTGGGAACCCGGTAAGTGGGGGATTTTTGCAAAACAAGTGATTTCTGCCTTTAGCAAATATTTAGATTTTCTCCTGCTTTCCTAGAGACAGTGGATCCCTGCCCTTCATCTTCTCTAGCTGCTTTCTTCCCCTTCTCTTGTGTGGTTTCACTTAGCTTTTCATCATGTCTTATTCACTCTCTGCCACTTACATCTCCACCTTTGTTCTTTTCCAAACAGGTGATCTGGTGGCTGAATCTGGTCACTATTGGATTGTACCTCCTAATGGCAATTTGCACCACTGTGGCCATAAAGAGGGGAGTTCAGCTGACAGCTGAACTCAAAGGTATGTCCAGTTTTCCTACCCTAATGAATTTGTAAGCTTCACTGTTGTGACATTTTGTCATCCTGGACAAAGCTCATCCTCGCTCTGCTGTGGAATGTAAGACCACTCAGAAATTAAACAAAATGTGTTCAAGAGGAACATGACAGAGATGAGTACAAATATTTAAAATGTACAATGCTATGGAAACTCTAAATCTTATTACTGGAAGGATGTAAATGCCAAGGAAGGGCAGAGGAATTAACAGTGTTTTCAGGCTAGAAAGGACCATTATGATGATCTCTTCTGATCTCCTGCATAATATAGGGCATTGATTTCACTTGAATATCTCATCCAGCCTAAAATTTCAAATAAATTAAAGCGTGTCTTTTAGAAAGACATCAGCTTTGATTGAGAGTGTGCTTTCAGGAATTTTGTATATCAGTCCAAGGGGTTGTAACTAAGAGGAATGGGATGAAATTAAAAACCAGGTAAATTTAGGCAAAATATCAGGAAAACCATCCTAACGCTGATATATATGAAAGTATGAAATAGTCTTCCCAGGAAGAACGCCAGAAATCCCATCACTTGTGTTATTTTAAAATTGAACTGGACAATGCTCTAGCAAAAATACTGTAGGGTGCTATCTTACACTGGCCCCAAAGGGGATTGGATCCCTCTCTGGTTCAAGACTGTGTGATGTGTGCTGTATTAATATTACACACGTGTGTTGAAAGGAGACATGCTAGTTAGTGCCCATTAGGGAGTTGATAGAGAGGGGGTACTAGGAGGAGGATATTAGCAGACCTTTTTCCTCGCTTTGCCTTTTCCAACCACAGGTAACACACAACTTCACAAACCCTAAGGAATCCAGTCTCAAGACATCCCTCTGACATATACCTGTTTCCTCATTTTACAGATAATAGGGTAGGAAATGAAATACAGAAAGGTGAAGTGATTTTTATGTAAGGTCACTGAAGTTATGTCTACATTATGATAAAAGACATGTGGTATGGCTGTGGCTGGCATAAATCAGTCCAGGCTGTAGGGTTATAAAATTGCAGTGAAAATATACTGAGGCCCAGGCTTTGACACCCCGTGAGTGGGGAGGATTTCAGAGCCCAAGATTTAGCCTGAACCCAAGCTCCACAAGTCCAAGGCAGCAGACCCAGACTCTCAGACTTGGTACTTCACATTTTTTTATTGCAGTGTAAACTAATGTTCCCTCTAATTTTTTCCATCCATGTGCAGAATACATTTCATTTGTGCACCAATGCATCTAAAGATATGTACCACCAATAGAAACACATGGTGCCAGCTGTGGGTGCTTTACTAATCAGCTAGGTGGCATTGGAATCTCTACTGGACTGCCACCTAAGCACTCAGTTTACAGGGAACACTGCTGTAGATGTACCCACAGTGAATTATTGACTGACCTGGAAATAGGATTCAGGTTTCTTGCCCCTTCTCCTGCTCCCCTGATTCTAAATACTAGACAAGATTCCTTTCCAGGAAATGGGCTGACAGTGAGGATCTGGGATGGCTGTTAAGCTACTCCAGAGAGAATCCCAGAAATCGGAGATTGAAAAGACCTGTTAAGATGCATAATGTCCATTGTCCTGTGCTACCACAGGATTATTCCTTATAGGACCCTATGCAAGACCAGCCAGGTCTGTGACCAGGTCTTCAAAAGCCCTTCAGGTCCATCTTGTATAGCTTTTCCAATATCTGTTCATTGAGGAAGATGTTTCAGTGTGATACATTTTTTGCACGAATATGTACAATCTGGGGAAAACATCCTGCTTATGTCCTAGTGAGAGCTGAAGGTGTGATCTGGTCTTCCCAAAGGCTGAGTTTAAGTACCCACTTTTACCCACAGGCCCCAGGGTTCTACAGGTCTGGGGAACCTTTTCCCAGTGAAAGACATTTGTATTTCTGTGCCCTAAACATCTATTTATTAGCAACACATATATCAAAGCAAATCTGTTATGTTCATTACTCCCAGTATAGAGACAAATTTCACCCAATGATCAGTTAGGATCTACTTGCCTGGGGGTTGCCAGTGATGCCTCTACATGTCAGTCATGCAGAGGGAATGATATCTTGCAGCTTTTCATGCTGGAGTCCAGAGTGGATTGCCAAAAAAGTATTGATTTTCATGTATATAGGTAAAATTAGTTATCTCCTTCAAATTTATAAAATCTATGACATTATCCCATGCCCCTGTGTAACAGAAATTTTAACAAGTTACACACTGGTGCCTATGTCTCCCACTTCCTATCCAAATCTTTTACATTTTATCTTTCCTATCTAAATCAGAAATTATTTTTGACTGTCTGTGTTTGTACACATAGTCAGCATAAATTTCCTGGTCAGAATTTATCATATAGCAGGTCTACTCAATTTTGGAAGCCCTGCAGGCCATAATGATACTTGCAGCACATGCCGATGGCCGCACCTTAAGTGTGGTTGCATATACATGCAAATAGCTTCTTTCACACTGACAGGCATGAATACAAAGATTAGATTAAATTAATGGAGATTGCCTATCTCCTAGAACTGGAAGTGACCTTGAAAGGTCATCAAGTCCAGTCCCCTGCCTTCACAGTAGGACCAAGTACTATCCTTGACAAATTTTTGCCCCAAATAGCCTCCACAAGGATTGAACTCACAACGCTGGGTTTAGCAGGCCAATGCTCAAACCACTGAGCTATCCCTTTCCCCAGATTAAGGCTAACGCAAGACTACACAACACACAGGCCCCATTTAAGTGAGTTCTGTTGATATTAATAAAATACAATATTTACCCAATTTCCACCCATATGACTACTTTTAATGAGCAATGGCAGTCCAAGAATTTAATTACTAAAACGCATAGCAACAGAAGACCATTATATTGACTACTTTTTTGTTTTGGCTCCCACCCATGGGGTGTGTGTTGAGCCCTGCGTAAACCCAAAGAACACCACGGGCCGCAAAGAAATGGGCTGCTGGCCACATTTGGCCCGTGGGCCACATATTGAGAAGCCCTGGTCTAGATGGTGCTTGGTCCTGCTGTGAAGGCAGGGCACTGAACTCGACCTCTCAAGGTCCCTTTCAGTTCTAGTATTCTATGATAATATGACATCCATGCACTGGGAAATTTTAGGGAAGATACAGAGAGAGACTCGGCAAATGCTATAAGACAGGGCTACTCAACCTGCAGCCTGTTTGTCTGTGGTCTGTGCTGTGGTTTGGGTTTACACTAGGCTCAACACGCGTAGTCTTGCCTTAATGTTTGTATTCATGCCTGTCATTGTGAAAAGCTATTTGCATATATTTGCATGTGTATGCAACCACACTTAAGTTGCAGCCCTTGGCATGAGCTGCAAGTATCATTGTGGCCCTCCAGATTTCCAAAATTGAGTAGCCCTAGTCTAGACCATCCCTGATAGATGTCTATCTAACCTGCTCTTAAATATCTCCAGAGATGGAGATTCCATAACCTCCCTAGGAAGGTCTGGCAGATCTTTACATCCTTAGTGATTATAACTTTTATTAGGTACATTCCAGAGGTGGGGGGTGTTTTATCAGCTGCAGAACATTCTTCCTCCCACTTCAATTTTAGTGGTGTGCTCTGTGAGTTTCACCAAAGCCTAGTTTAATATAGGGAGGAGGGCAGGGTTTAATTAGATCCCAGGCCTACACTTGGACCTGATTCCAGGCAGGTAGACCTGCTAAGCTTGTTCCTACCAATCTTACTGGTATTCATATTCTGCCCCTTGGTGTTGGGGTTGGATGAGATATCCCGGATTGTGCAGTTTCAATGACTGATGTGTATGGGTTTGAATTTCAGAGCTCTCTAAAGTCTTGCTACATTGTGGAGGGCAGATCATGCTGGGCTGGCTCCTCCATTACCTCCCTTTCTTCATGATGGGCAGAGTCCTCTACTTTCATCATTACTTTCCTGCCATGCTTTTCTCTAGCATGCTGACAGGTAAATACTGCAAAACAGAGACACTGGAAGTAGGGGGATCAGGAGAGGAGCTGTGTTGGATGGAGTATTTTTAAAGTGTCATAATTCTAATCAATCAGTTTATTTTTTCTTTCAGATTTCTGGTTCATGGGTAATGCGTGGAACTGTGTACTGATTCAAAAGTGTTTTAGCCCTAGCAGCTTAAGACATGGAACCCTATATAATTGTGTCATTTGGAATACCATATTGATTTGATCTCATAGAGCTTGCGGTGGCTAGTAGATAGAGCATTGGACTGGGGTGTAGAAGACTTCTCTTTTTCCTGCTTTGCCACTCTCTTGCTATGTGACATGGCAAGTCATTTCACCTCTCCATGACACTGTTAGCTTCCTTTCTGTATCTTGTCTGTTTAGACTGAGTTCTTCAGGATAGGGACTGTCTCTCACTATGTATGTGTATAGTGCTTTGTAAAGGGGCCTTGTTCTCAGCTGGGACCTCTAGAAAGTACCATAACACAAATGATACATTAAAATAATAATTCCATTTCAATTCCAGCATGATTCGCAAGTGACATAAAGCATTACTCTCTGACCCTGATGGTATATGAGCCTTCAACTGCTAAAATCATGTTTCACTTCAAATGGAGGGGATAGAAGAAGTAAGATGGTAATTGGAATTGCATAATTTAGTGGTCTGATACCTCTAGCTGTCAGGACTAATCTAAAGTATTTTATTAGAACATAAGACCAGCCATACTGGGTCAGACCAAAAGTCCATCTAGCCCAGTATCTTGTCTTCCAACAGTGGCCAGTGCCAGGTGTCCCAGAGGGAATGAACAGAACCAGTAATAAATGATCCATTCCATATTGCCCATTCCCAACTTCCAGCAAACAGGCTAAGAACACCATTCCTTCCCATCCTGGCTAATAGACATTGATGGACCCATCCTCTATGAATTTATTTATAGTCTTGGCCTTCACAGTTCCACGGGTTGACTGTGCATTGTGTGAAGAAATACTTTTTTGTTTGTTTTAAACTTGCTGCTTGTTAATTTAATTTGGTGATCCCTAGTTCTTTTGTCATGAGAAGGAGTAAATAGTACCTCCTTCTCTACTTTATTTACACCTGTTATGATTTTATAAACCTCAATCATATCCCCTCGTAGTCATTCCAGTGGTAATGTTGGGAAAACTAAATGTCTACTGATAGAAAGCATCACTTCTTGTGCTAAGAGTTGATAAGAAATCAAACTTAACACCGAATTGGTCCCTTGTTCATATAAAGCTTTATCAGCACTTGTTTGTGATTGAATGTATCAAATACACCTTGCATCTCTCTACTGGCTTCCAACATGGGGCCTTTAGCTATGAATTTTATTTTCTTTTTTTTAGGAATTACATGGGATACTCTGCTGAAGTTCTGTGTTGAGCACCTGTCCTGTTCCGTGAGGAGGAGGGTGTATCTATATGGGATGCTGACACTGATGTTACTCATTGTATTTAGGTGAGAGCTAGAAATTGAGTTGCTCCTGCATTTAAAACAATATCTGTTGTCTCAGTGGAAGCTTTGGCTTCTTGACAGGTGGTGGTTTTAATTTTTCACTTTTCCAACTCCCTTCCCTTTTTGTTCTCTTGCTAAACTCTCGGATAGCACAGACTTTGCCCTGAAACCTTCATATGAACCAGATTCAGCTTTGTCAGCTTTTCTCCATTTTCTGGTAATGAGTTTGCAGAAATCTTTTCATTACAGGGAGTATCTTCATTTAACCCTAGAGTTCAGTGGGTATAAATGCTGTTAGTTGGACTGGCTGCCTTTTCTCCCACAGCTCAGCAGATATAGATTTTGAGCCTCATCCCATATGATCCAAGACCATGAGTCTATGCTATGCTTCAAAAATGTATTGATTAAATGTTTTTATAGGCTTCCCAAACCCATCCCACCCATAATAAGGCCACATAATGGTCTGTATTAACATTGAGTGGGAGAAAGAGAGCCCCAAATGGACTCTAGAGAAGCCCAAATAGAACACTTCCATATACCATACATCAGCTATATGACTGAATTGTTTCTGTGACCTTGGTACTGAGTACTATGCAGTTAATCAGACCTTGACAGCTGTTTTGATCCTCTCCACAGCTTCTACCTCTTCCATCCTCTGTCCTATGGGATGGTGGGACCTATGGCTTCAGATCCCAAAAGCCCAATGGCAGGGCTCAGGTGGCTGGAATCATGGGAATTCTAGGGTCAACAGGAGGCAGCCTGAAAGGAGGGAATAAGAAACACAAGAACTATCAAGTGTCAAGTTGATTCTTGATCATTTAGAGGCAAGTGGTTGCAAAGCACCATTCTAGAGAACTCTGGGAAATCTGCTCCCTATAGGATCATCACTGGTTTGCATAATTTGAGACTTGGCAGAGTGTGACCACAAGAAAGATCCTTTGAACTCCCACCATAGTTACAGTAGATTCTATTTCTGAGGCTGTCCACTGCATTAAGACCTGGGTCCTCCGAACAAGGTGTTGGAATTCTTCATGGTCATACTTTCGCCTTGCTTTGGCCTGTCCAGCAGTTACACTGGTGTGATTTGGAAAATGTATGTGTTTATATCTGTTAGAGGGTGAGGTTGCATACACCTGTTTGTCTGTCTCTCCTCATCTGAAAATCATTTGTGTGTAGAAAGAGCTGACTGTAAAAAGCATAGTTTCCTGAGGTATTAGGGATCTTTTCATATTTCATAACTTTTATTTGTGTTGTTTTCCACATATTATGGCGAATGTCTGGGAATTACCCTGTCATCCTCATTTGCATTTCACAGAGGTGATGCTGTGTTTCTAGTACCTGGCCAAGCTGAAAGTCTCTCAGTGGCTTGAAACCTCCATGAGCCATGGTGCCTTGCCTGTCTCCCAGGCCCATTGCAAACTGAAGAAGTGAAGATTGTTTATCCTTGCATATCCCCTTGCTTTCAGGCCACCTGCAACACTTATAATAATCACTGTGTAGCTACCTGGAAAACCACTTGAGAGCTTAGAGCCAGACAGTTCCAGCTCATCAGTCTTGCAATTCTTCCAGAAGATGCTAAGAAGCTCCAAGGAGCAGCAGGTTCTTTTATTGCTTGTCCTGGGTTTTTGATGTAAGGGACAACCTCTTTTTTGGTACACAGGAAATCTTTGCTGTTAGCTGTCATGCATCCTGTGATACCAGCAGTTCTACTGCCAGTAACTCTGTTTTGTGGGAAGAAGCTAAAGCATCATCCTAATGAAAGTGGAATCTGCAAATCCTACTGCTAGTTCTGGGGTATTTAATCACTAATATTCCTCTGCTGAAGGCAGGTTTCTCCTAACAGGAAACTGCACTTCTTATTATAGTGATAAACTGCCAGGCAATTGAGAAGGGGGGGACTGAAACAGGAGAGAGAAACCAGAACAAAAACTCTTTGCTTGTCTGGTGAAGAGAACTCTTGTGCTGATTCCATCCCTGGCAGTGGGGAGGTGGTCTTCCAACAGGTGTTGGAAAACTTTTAAATGAGGTAACTCCCTTCCTTCCTTCCTTCCCCCAAATGTTCCTTTTTTGCATTTTTCTCCCCCAAGTTCCCTTTTTTCTCCTCAGTTCATTACTACCTTGTAGCATCCAAAACAAACTGCCTTGAGTCCCAGCTGTGTGTGTCCTATGAGAGAGCAAGGTTTGTAAGGCAATTTTGCATATGCATCAAGGTGATTAAGCCCATCATTTCAGATTCCTTGCTCTGCTTTTCAGCTCAGCTCCTGAGTATGCATTGGGTGAGTATCAGTAAGGGGTGAGTGTGTCTGTGTTTTAAAGATGAATTCTGCTTTACTCCTTTTTCCCTCTCTGGATTCTAAAGGCTTATCTATAACAGGAAAGGCTGTTGGCATGGAGATTGTGCTAATGTCCTCAGACCAAGCTGGATGGCTGTGTTTTGTGCTGGGCTGAGGCTCAGTTCAGACTTTAATAGAGAAAATGTAGGAATGTTCAGTTAGGCAGCTGCTTGCCATTGTAACATGCTGGCTCAGTTTGTCATATCTGCCTCTAGAGCCTGGTCCATATACAAGATAGGAGCCTGCTACTGGCACCAGCTCAAATGGTATAGGCTTTTGCTTTTGATGCTAAAGGTTTTGAGTTAATCCCCTGCTGACAGTCCATGATGGGGGGTCATTACTCTAATTAACTGCTGGGTTTGATTATCTATTTCTGTTTATTGTGGTAGGAAGTTCTTCTCTCTGGCTGAGCCAAGACAGCTCAGATATATCTAGGAAAGAAGGATGAGGGAGAGAGTTGAAAACCTCTCCAAATCCTGCTTAGCTTGACATATGGAAAAACAGCAACGGATTATAAACAGAGGCAATATGACAGGCAGACATTACACTGCTTTATTTTTAATAAGTTAGTGGGCTTTTTATATTGTTAGTAAGAACATCAGATTAATGTGGTGATGTCATGAGGTTTTTTCCTGCAGAGGTCCTATTGCCAACAGAAAAAAGTGCCAGGGGCTCATGTAACGGATGTATTGAGATGCAGGATACCCCCCAGGCACTGAGGACCCAGCAGTGATACAGACATGAATAGCAGCAAACCAGATCCTAGCTACTGAGAAGGAAGAAGTCAGTAGGTTGTTAAGCAGGATGGTTCCAAAGGCATTTCACACATCTTTACCATCATAAAACCTTTTAGCTTAGTCAAAATGTTGCTGATTTAGCAACCTTTATTACTAAGGACATATAGGGGTAAGAACTCCAGGAGTATCGTGAGAAAGCTAGGCCTCTTCTTGGTCATTGTTCCTGTCTCCTCCGCTGCACTAATTGGTCTGCTTCAGATTGTGGGGGAACTGAAAACTCCACCTAACTTAGTTTCCCTTCCAGCTTTTTGAGCCCAGGTCAACTTCAGCCTCAATACAAACAAGAGGCTGCTTGTCTTTGTTGCTGGGAGTTTGGATGCCTTATGCTGGGAGTTTGACTGGCACAAGAGCTAATCCACTTTTTGATCCCCTGTACATCCCACTGCCCACGTACAGGAGGACACAATAAAAATCTAGATGTCCTACAACAGTGAACAGCCTGTGACCAGGCTTGAGTTAGGTTGTTAAAAAGACATGGACATTAATATCCAGCCTTTTAAAAGGCGCAGCCTTGGGGCTCATTTTCTGAATTCCAAGAGCAAGGTCCTCACCTGGTGCAAACTGATACTCTTTTGTCTTCAGCAGAGCTATGCTGTTGTATTCCATCTGACAACCTGAACCTAAATATCTATTTCTTAAACATTCACCAAGCCATCCCTGAGAACAAAACAACAGTCCACAAAGAGTGTTTGTGAGCCTACAAAATTGTGCTGCTTCTACTGGCACTGCAGCAGTATTTATGCTTGGGCACACTTTGCAGAACTGTGCAGATGTGAAGCACTGGATGCAGTGAAAGTGAACCTTGCCTTCTGTAGGAGGCATTGTCACTCTGCAATGCCTCTGTTTGGTCAGAGGTCTGCACAAAGTCATCTGTAGCCTTTCTGATTGGGTTCTAGGACTTAATTAACACTAGTTCAATTTAGTCCAGCATTCCTGACTGGAATGAGTGCTGCTTCAACTCATTTGTCCCCTTCCTCAGTCATGTGGAAACAGCTAATGGTGATTTCACAGGCAAAAGATGCTGCTCTCTGGAATAGCTGCTCTTTATGAGGATTCCCAGGCAGTCAACCATTATTGTTGTGGAAGGATGTAATTGAACTCAATCTGTAGAGCCAAAATGTAAACATCTGCAGACTTCAGAATTCCCATTCCTTCCCTTTCCTCTGCTTTATACTGTAAAACTATGTTTTAATTTCTCCAGTCTTTGGAGGATACAAAGAAGGACTTAAGTTTAGAA